AGGACGCACAATGGGCTATTCATTAAGATAGCAACACACACACACACACACACACACGTCTCACCCCCATTCATCCCCATTCAACCAGCAACAGCACCGTCCATCACACATGTATTTATCAACCATGTCCTTCTGTAACATACATGCAGGCATACAACACACACTGTGCACGCACACACACACAATATAATAGACACACACATCCCAACTCACTACCCAGCTGCAGTGAAAGCCCTTCCAAGTTCTTGCCAACCCCTCACACACACAAATGCACGCGCACACACACACACACACACAAATGCACGCGCGCACACACACACACACACACACACACACACACACACACACACACACACACACACACAATATAATAGACACACACATCCCAACTCACTACCCAGCTGCAGTGAAAGCCCTTCCAAGTTCTTGCCAACCCCTCACACACACAAATGCACGCGCACACACACACACACACACAAATGCACGCGCGCACACACACACACACACACACACACACACACACACACACACACACCCCTCCTCCCTGACCAGTAACTCAGAGACAAGGCGACAAACACAAAGGGATAGGAACTTCGGTGGTATGAGCACAAAGGCAGGATTCACAGACGTTCAAATGGGGGACCTATTTAAATGTAACACAGCTGCATGAATTTATTAAGACAGACGGACAGAGCGAAAAGATCAGGAATGTCCACTTTAAAGATTTCTTGACATTTTAATTGGGGATGTAACTCACATTTATCACTATTAGGGGATAACCTATAAATAATAGAAGCTCACTTACATACAGTTATTGTTGCCTTTCATTACGTTAGGCTGCTTTTAAATTGGCGGGGTGGTTTGATGGTGTTCTTCAGCACGAATCCCTAGCAGCTCTAGTTGTGTGAGTCTATGGCTGACCTTTGACCTCGCTGTAGGATAGGAAAATAAATGGGAATCCATCAGTATCTCATTATTATAAGACAGAGTTCATTACGTTTATAATAACTTAATAACTGTGGCCCACCGGATCCCTCTTCAAGGTTGACTGATCCACTTCAACGGGCAAAAACTAACACACCTGCAGCTCTGTCCTGCACAGGTGCACGCAGAGACAGAGTGTCACAGAGGGGCAGAGCGAGTTTGTGAGTAAGAGAGGGATGTAAACTGCTTTCAAACGATTCAGACTTTTGAGATTCTTACCTATCAGAGTCAGCAGAAATGTGTTTGTCTAAAAAACAAACGCATCTCCAGGAAAAATGTTGGCATTGTTTCTGCAAATCAAGTTATTATATGGCAGGCAGATTAAAACTTGGTTAATGTGTGGTAAGGTTAGGGCACAAAAATCACTTGGTTATGGTTAAAAAAAAGAGAACTTTTGGCTTAAAATACCAGTTTTTTGGGAGGCACAATCCAGACAGAAAAAGCAGCAATGTCCCAATTAAAAAAAACAAAACTTTTTGCACCACCATTCCTGCTGGAAAAACAATGAAGGGTCACTAAGGAACACCCACATTTGGGGCTAAAAAGCTGCAGGTAACACAGCGATGTATTCCTAAAAAACACCCACATTTGGGGGCTTAAAAGCTGCAGATAACACAGCGATGAATTCCCAAAAAACCTCCATGTTTGGGGGCTAAAAAGCTGCAGGTAACACAGCGATGAATTCCTAAAAAACATCCACGTTTGGGGACTATAAAGCTGGTGGAAAAACAGTGACAAGCCACTAAAAACAACCATGTTTAAGGCTGAAACGCTGCAGGTAACACAGGGATGGATTCCTAAAAAACACCAATGTTTGGGGACTATAAAGCTGGTGGAAAAACAGCAATGAGTCACAGAAAACACCCACGTTTGGGGGCTATAAAGCTGGTGGAAAAACAGCAATGAGTCACAAAAAACACCCACGTTTGGGGACTATAAAGCTGGTGGAAAAACAGCAATGAGTCACAAAAAACACCCACGTTTGGGGACTATAAAGCTGGTGGAAAAACAGTGACAAGCCACTAAAAACAACCATGTTTAAGGCTGAAACGCTGCAGGTAACACAGGGATGGATTCCTAAAAAACACCAATGTTTGGGGACTATAAAGCTGGTGGAAAAACAGCAATGAGTCACAGAAAACACCCACGTTTGGGGGCTATAAAGCTGGTGGAAAAACAGCAATGAGTCACAAAAAACACCCACGTTTGGGGGCTATAAAGCTGGTGGAAAAACAGCAATGAGTCACAAAAAACACCCACGTTTGGGGACTATAAAGCTGGTGGAAAAACAGCGACAAGCCACTAAAAACAACCATGTTTAAGGCTGAAACGCTGCAGGTAACACAGGGATGGATTCCTAAAAAACACCAATGTTTGGGGACTATAAAGCTGGTGGAAAAACAGCAATGAGTCACAGAAAACACCCACGTTTGGGGACTATAAAGCTGGTGGAAAAACAGCAATGAGTCACAAAAAACACCCACGTTTGGGGGCTATAAAGCTGGTGGAAAAACAGCAATGAGTCACAAAAAACACCCACGTTTGGGGACTATAAAGCTGGTGGAAAAACAGCAATGAGTCACAAAAAACACCCACGTTTGGGGACTATAAAGCTGGTGGAAAAACAGTGACGAGCCACTAAAAACACCCACGTTTAAGACCAAAAAGCTGCAGGTAACACAGGGATGGATTCCTAAAAAAGACATCTTATGTGTGGGGACTAAACAGCTGGTGGAAAAACCTAAATGACTCACTAAAAAACAACTGGTTTTGTTGTTTGTTGGTGTGGTCTGCAACGTGGTAGACTTCATGCTTGGCAGGCATCTTGCCAATGTGTCATGCCATTCATCATTCCTTCCACCCACTGATGACAAAGTCAGCTCAAATATGTCACTGGAGAAATGTTGATTTGATATGTATGGAACATATTACAACATTTTCTTCTGACAACTGGACTGCTGAAACAAAACGATCAATTTTTGCATCTTGGCTACTTTGCAGAAGAATGCTCATCTCTTGCTCCATAACACACAACGTAAAACACTTAAATATGGATTCTAGATTCCCTGCAGTGGAGACACTTTTTCCTCCTACTTAAACTTAAATCACTCCATCAGCCGAGTAACTAGATACAATATACACAACAACTTCATGTAGTTTACAGGACACATGCACCAAGTAACGTACATGTAAAATTAGGGCTCTTTAAACATGGTTTTGAAATTAGTTGGGGTCAAGCCTACATTCTAATGTTAATAAATTGCAGCACATAAACCAAATGTGTTTCTATCTGGCTGGTATTATATCCTCTGAATCCAGTGTGCCCTACAATTTCTGTTAAATTATTACAAATTTGTACAAACCTGTTTACAGAGAGTGACATCATCTGGCACCAAAGAACAGCCAATACCAGCTTTCACACAGATTTTGTTTAAATCCAAAGCTCCATATTTATTGCTTTATTTTTGTTTAATCCTCTCAAAAACTGCGTTATCATGTGAGTGTAATGACACGACAGGCACTTAGAAACCACATCCTGAGAAACATAGGAGTGCCTCATATTTAGTAGAAATGTCAGGTTAAGAGAGGGCGATGATGATGTGAGCCTCTGGGCCTAACAGTCACAGGACTGTGTGACTTCTATTTTGATGCTGTCGACCCAGAGCCCGCTGACCTGCATGTGTGTGTGCTTCACAACAAACTACATCTCAGCCATGACAGGACAAGTTTTTTAGTGCCATCTGTGTGTGTTTCTTCTCTAGGTTTAAAACCTCAGTCCTTTATTATCTTTGAATTTTGTCAGTGCTGCAATGTATTTACTGAAACTAAAACAGTTTTAATTTGCAGACTGAGCCTCAAAGGTTGCACACGTTTAGACAGTGAAGTCAAATCACCAATTTAGTAAGAATCAAAACAGATCCATTATTGCTACGAGTTTTCCTTTTTTCAAGTGATTTTATTACTTTTATATTCACTGTAAATTTCTCATAACATCACAAGTAAATATTTCGATCAAAGTTTATTCATGTAAATAATCTAATCAAATAATTAAGACTTTTGCACAGATTTGAATGGGCAAATGTTTTTTTTTTTATTCAGCATACAAATAATTTAATAAAGTAATTAAGATGAATTAATAAAAATTGTAAACTTGTATTGATTATTATTTCTCAAATCTACCAAAAGGCTGGAAGTCCCGCATCATTTCACTAAAACCATATCATTTAATGTTTTATATATAATTGGAAAATTATGTTTTTTTCTTTTAAAAACTGTAAAGCTACTCAAGAAAAAAACAACTGTAATTATTGAGGCACAATTATACATTTTATAATAAGCAAGACAAGACTTTTCAATTCTTTATTTCCCTGGAATAAATGTATTATTTATATTATTTATAGGCCTAATAGAAAAAAAATGTAGGCTGGAAAAAATAATCCGATCTTAAATAACAGATGCATTTATAATGTTTTGGCTCATGAATTTTTTTTTTTTATATATATAGATAAAAACTGTCAGTATTTGCAGCGATGAGGTATTAAAGCAGCAGAATTATCTTAGGCTATATACATAAAGCCTACATTACGCAGTTATTTTTCCGAACGTTTCATCTATTTTTGGCATAATTAAATTTCTAGTCTGCAGACTATAGAGGTCATCCATCATCATCCCGAGGGCAACATTTTCGGACAGAGGTGTCTAGGTTAGTATTTTATTAAACAAGAATAAATGATGTCGTCGCTTTTCTCCAGGCAGATAATTTGGAAGCTTTCTCACTGATACTTAAAATAAATAAAAAGTTTACTAAAACATAAAATTCAAACCATTATTTGAGCAACCAGCACATTACTCCACAACACCTTGTGGCCACAGAACCGTGTAAGATTAATCTGCATTTTTCGGTCTCACCTAAACGTCACTCACTCATGGAGCGATGTATTTGTTGGGCCTGTTCATTTCCCCTCACCTCCGTTATTTGCGCACAAACACACACACACGCCAAAACAAGCACTCACGTCAAACCGAGGCCGGGCCGCAAATCCTCCGCTGCACAGCGGGAGAGAAATCCCCGGAGTGTCTCTGTGAAGATCCCCGGGTTTAAAGCTCCAGGAGCCGGACGGTCCCACCACAGCCTCCCGGGGGCCGGAGTCGCCGCGCTCCTGGAGCATTTTACTCTTTATATGTGAGAGTTTGTTGAGACGCGGACAAAGAGTGGCGGTGGAGGGGAAGACACAAGCTTTTTCCTTCTTTTCTTTTCTTTTTTCATATGCACAGAACTGCTTTTTGTTCCCCCCGCTTTTTTTTCATTAAAGGGAGAAGGGGGTGCTGGTTTTTGATCACATGATTCCAATTCACCTGAGATAAAACAAAGGACGCAAAGAAAGGAGGGAGAGAGGCAGAGAATCAGACAGAGAGATGCTCTCATGGTTAGGATTCCCTTATCACGGTCAACATTTAAAAAAAAAAAAAAGTGTTGATTTTTGGATTGGGTGCCAGTGTGTCGCATGGCGGGGATACAAGGGGTCATTGTTGGGGAAGAACAGCGCTGGTGTTTGTATCCGTGCGGCCCATGATGTCCCCTCTCGTCTCTCCTTTCTGCGTTAGACTGTTTGGTCTCTAACGCGCGCTCTGTTGCGCTCAGGCGAGGCGCTGATGCAATTATAACAGTCACACATGGACATAAAGGGGCGCACTGTCGGATGCCACCACGTAATCTTTTTAAGGGCCTTTGAATGTTATCTACACCTGCGATGTGGCGCTGAGTGCAAATGGATAAACATTCATATCAATCTCAATTACACCCTGAGAATGTGTGCTTTTATCTCGGGATCACTTTGGAAATATGTGTTTTTAAAGTGCTTTCCTCTGGGATGTTTGTGTCTCGCCACACCTTTGAGACGTTGTGCTTTTAAATTCCTAATAAAAAAAATCAAATCAGACACATTTTACCACTCTAAATCCAGCATCGGCTTCGCAGTATCATGATGTGCAATCATTCTGTGGCCCAAATGTTTGTTTCTGCCTAGAAATGGTGGAAACCTCCTTCACACGAGCCATTTCTGATGCAAATCCATTAACAGACTTTTATAAATGTTCAGTCAAAACAAACTGTGTATCTGATCGTGTTTATGTGCGCAACGGTGCGTAAAATCTGAGCACCTGTGTTGTCAAAATGCAACATTCTCTGCTGTTGTGCTTTTAAATTCCTCACAATAATCAAATCAGACACATTTTACCACTTTAAATCTTACACTGGCTTCGCGACATTACGATGTGCAATATAAATGTTGAACATTATATTGCACAATGAACATTATAAATATTCAGTCAAAACAAACTGTCTATCTGATCGTGTTTATGTGCGCAAAGGTGCGTAAAATCTGAGCACCTGTGCTGGCAAAATGTAACACTCTCTCCTCTGCATCTTATTTAAGACTTGAACAGCATTTGATGAACTCCACCCTCTGTCTGTTTGTCCCCATCTTCCTCAAAAACGGTTCAGGCCTCTGATATCCTCTGGGATTTTTGTGCCATGATACTCTTTGGAGTCGTTGTGCTTTTAAATTCCTCACAAAAATTAAATCAGACACATTTTACCACTTTAAATCTTACATCCGCTTCGCAACATCGTGATATGCAATCATTCTGTGGCCTAAATTTCTTCCTAGAAAAGTAGAAAAACTTCCTTCACACGATGCACATCCAGTAACACTGACCTTAATAAATATTCAGTCAAAACAAACTGTCTATCTGATCGTGTTTATGTGCGCAAAGGTGCGTAAAATCTTTGTTGTCAAAATGCAACACACTCCACTGGCTGCATCTTAGACTTTAACAGCATTGAACATGTTTGATGAACTCCAGTCTCTGTTTGTCTCAATTTAACGCAAGAAGCGATCAGGCCTCTGATAAAGCTTTAATTTAAATCTGTGGATATATGAAATTGCCTCCGAGCGTGTTCTGAAATCTAAAATTAAACTGCGTCATCATCGACACGTGAGAACACAGTTTCTCAGCCGATGGATTGTCCTCGAAACTCCTGCAGGCGAAACACTTAATTTAATTGAGTCCATATATGCTGTAGATTCGTGCACAGTTTCGATTTAAGTAAGCGCATTTGAATTGTAAATGTTGGCACCTGTAAGAGAAATGGTCCTTTTAATTAACTGGACTTCAAGTTAACACCAAAACAAGACCTGCATAATTTCTCAGGTGTGCAATTACGTATGAATGATGGTCATCTTCACATAAAATCGTCAGAACAGATCATGTACAAAATGAAACGCTTTTGTACTTTGCTGTGCGTAAAATTTGGTGCGCACAATTACGCACGCTTATATATTAACTTCCACTTATTTTAGGGACACCAAACTTAAATTTTCCTCCCATTTTGATATTAAGAAAGAGCGAGAGCGCTGCAAAGAAAGAATTATTGCTTCAACCAATCAGAGCTCTCCTCCCCAGCATCCGCACTGCTCCTTTAAGACTCGTCCTCCCCAGCATCTTTTTTTTTTCTCTGCCTCATACAAGGAGCTCTTTAAGCCCCGGCACCGACACACAGAGCAGGCATTCATACTCGGGCAGCGCGAGCGAGGGGGCTCGGGAGCGAGCGTCACTTTGGAAACTCACGGATTCTCGTGCTAAACCGGCGACCTCCTTTTCTCATTACTGAAGTAAGGCGCTTAGCATTTCCAACTCTTTCCTCTCTGCTGCTGCTGGGGGCTACTCTGACTCTGCGGTTTGATTGTTTCTTCTAGTCGGAATCAGAGAGGAGAACCCCAGACTCTGAATTAGAGATGTGATTTTAGAATCAAATAATCTTAACATTGCATTGATGATTATTAACAACTGTTTGCGAGCTCTGGCGTTGGTTTCAGACTGATCCAAAATGACTAATGACTTGCTCGTTCTTTAATAATTTAGCAAGTTATTTCAGTCACTCGGGTCTTTCTGTAGAACCACACGAGAACCGTGTCGTTAAAAGATGTTTTTTTTTTCATATTTTACGCACAATGTCCAACATTTTTTGGCGATGATTATCATAAAAAATAATTTTCCATATCGTGATAATTCTTGTAATGATAGCCTTGTTACTGTGTCAGTGTTACAAGTGCTCCTGTTTTCAGTTATCCATCATTTGTTTGGACAGTTTTTCTTGACAAGAATTTTAAAAGTCAAGCTTTTTCTTTTTAACTTGGAGACATTAACAACCCTTTTCGCACTATGAAAAGCATAATGCTCAAACATTTTTTAAAGAAGGGGGAAGTTTTGAGAAATTGCAAGAGACTGTGAAACAAATAAGCCTTATCTTCGACACGGACTTTGGTTCAGATGGAAAAAAAGCAGTGTCTGGACTATTTATTTACATATTTTGTGCATCTTTGGCTGGTTTGTTCTATATTTACTGTTGTTCTTGGGGGCTGTGCGGACTGGATGCCACCAGATATATGAGCTATTGTTAATCTAATCGCAGAAACAAGCAAATTAAGGCCAACTCTCTGGCAACTCAAGCGGCGATAATGAGTTCACATAGCCGGAATTCATTACGCACAGTAAATGTGCTCAGTGATGTAAATTAACAACAAGCGTGATTTGAGGGGTGTTTCAAAAACAATTTATATGTAACATATCAGATAATAAAATCAAATGACAACTGATGAGCGTGCCCAGCGGATAGACGACTCTCTGTTGAGTCCGTGATTCGCTTGTTTGTTCCTAATTTGAGGCGCAATCTGTTAAATAAATAACATACTTTATAATCAGTGTGGTCAGTGACTAAAAGGAATTATAAGCACTTTTAGATCATTGCTCTTGTCTTTCTTTGATAAGATCGACATGAGAAGCAAACAGAGGCAACGTGTGCGCAATGGCGTGTCTGGTGCCTTTACGCACGATGTTTACGCATTGTGTCTGTGCAGCAGGGACACTGTGGAGACAGTCTGTGAAGTGGCCTTGCAGACCAGGTGGCAGGCGAATATCATTATCAATGCGCCTCGGACAGATGGTGAAGCTTTACGCACCTCTGCTGGAACTGGATCCGATTCTTGACATTCAGTCTGACGTTAATTAAACATTGTCAGAAGACGTCAAACGTTTATTAAGAGTCACACGACACCATGTGTAATTTACCTCTGGTAGGCCTATATATTGTCATAATCATTATATAAACTCACTTAAAGCAGCCTATATGCATAGTTTGTTTCTAGGCTTAACGTTAAAACAGCGCTGAACATTTTTCCCAAATATAAAGGTGAGGTAACCTGAGTGTTAAGTGGGTATACCCCCCCCCCCTACTTAACCCACACATGAACACACAGACTGTAAAACTGACAGGCTGTTTCATAATGTCACTGGACGTGAGCGAGATCGCTAATTTTCCTGCAACACGACACCGGGGCAGAAAACAAACCAGCGCGCTGTGCGTTGCTGGTTCACAGGAAGTTCGCTGATTTCGGACGTAAAGTTCGAGGCGGGCGTGTTGATTTAATAGACAAAACAAGGACACATTTTGCTCCCGCCGATAGACCTGCCCCTGTTTGACAAACAGACTGTGTCTAATTCACACACGCGGACCGTACCGACGCGCACGCACACACGAGGTTTATATTTCCAGCGCCAGGCCGTGTTTATCCAAGAAGTGCGGGGTATAAATCCAACGTCTGTGCTGCTGCGGCCTCGTATCATTCCAACACTCTCTCTCTGGGGAGCTTGGAATAACTGCTAAACCTTTAACAGTAGGAAAGGGATGGAGGGGTGGGGGGGTGCAAGCCTGCAGAGGCGCGGCGCTATGGAGCTGGACCTCTGCAAACATGTATAGTCTAGACTTATTTTAAGACTGAACTTTATACACTTTAGGAATAAAAGAAACCTCTGTGAATTTTAATTCTGAAAAAATTCCGAACTGTTAAAACCAGTCTTAACCCATTTGATAAAACTCATTTAATGTTCCAGGTATGTGAAAATAAAAATTGAACAGAAGCAATGAACACACGTGAGACTATTTTAGCCCATGCACCTTTGTTTCTCACATAGTTTTCAGCGAATATGAAGTCCTTTATATGTTGTCCTACATGAAAATGTCTCCAATACTCACATGAAGTTTCAACATAAATGTAGATTTCAGATAAAAGAAGCAGAGGATTTTTATTTTGGCGAAATTTGAGACATTTACACTATAAATTTGATGCAAACTTGCGCACAAATTCGCAGATATAAATTCACCCGAACGCATGAAATTAAACTTACTCGTCTGTGCACACTGTAACTTTTGTCTAACAGGTTTTTGCCTGATGAAGGTCTAGTCACCGGAACGTTGCAGTTGAATTAAAGTAATTATTTTTGCAAGTTAGAGAGTGTGCAGGAGTCTTTTCCACAAGTTTTGTTCTTTTCCTCCCTCTTATATGCACCTGTTTGGAAATAGTTGTGTGAAGTATTCCTTTGTTGTGTGTGGCAATATCGTATCATCACACAGTGCCAAGTATCAATTTTTTAATTATATAAATTCTTAATATTACAAATACAAATTAAACTTTAGGTAGCCTAGAATAATAAAATCAAATGCTTTTCCAGTCCACTATACATTTTGCTGCAAAAAATAAAAAATAAAATAGCTGAAGCAAGCTGAAAACTCCTCTTACTTATCATGTTTGATGAAATAGATGTTTTCCTTTGGGGACATAATTTACAGTTGGAAAAAAAGTAATAAATCGCAATATATTTAAAATCGCAATAATATTTTATCATGACTTAAGTATCGTGATAATATCATATCGGGATTCTCCCCGCTACTTTTTATATGTGTCCCTCCTGGAGATTGAAGCAATCACTGGAGACTCTCTCTTTTCATTTCTTTATAAGGGTTGCTATTTAAAGGTGCAGGCAATGTGAGGACATGGCCCCACAAACGGACTACTTTATTGAACAAAAACTGGGGTGGGACAATGGCTTCAGGGCCAGTCTTTTAGCTTTTATAACTGTGATGGAGAGAAAATCACTGTGCCCGAATGATCCACACAGTGAGGTCTTTACTTCGCCTCATGTATTGAAAACACTCACAGACAACAGCTCATACACCTACAGGTGTTGGTGAAGTATCTGTTGCCTGATTAGGCATTGCTGATCTGACGCTCCTGATCATTCTGCTGTTCCAGGTCGTCTCTGTTGGATATCAACCGCGGGACAAACGGAGGAGAGTGAAGGGGAAGTCAGGAGGGAAGTGAGACTGGGTGAGTTTGGTGCTGACAGTTGTGCATTAGCAGGTAAACTGGGGTCCAAGGTGCGCGCTGAGCCGCCTATGATACCAACAACACGGATGGAAAGAACTTTAATGTGGAACCCTCACAGAGTTTTGCAACGGAGGCTGAGAGTAGAGACAGACTGGCAGTTCATATTATAACTTGAAGGAGCCCAGAGGGACAGATCAGACAGCCGACACTCCGTGCATCACTGTAGGGATTAACAGCATCAAGGACCCGACAGGTAGAGCTGAGCGTTTAGGAACAGACCTTGCACCTTCTGCGCACCTGGAGGCTTGTGTGTGTGTAGGAGGAGGATGTCCAGAGAGGAGCAGAGCTTGTCGGAGGTTGAGCTCAGCCCGGGGATGTCGGACGACAGTCGCTCTCTGTCGCCGGGTCATTCCTCCGGTGCGACTGGCGGGGGGGACTCGCCTCTCCACGGGCAGCAGCAGCCGCAGCAGCCGCAGCTGGCGAGTCTGGACGACTCGATGGCGGGCTGCTCGTCCATCAAATCCGACGATGAGGACGACCGCTTCCCGGCAGGAATCCGTGATGCAGTCAGCCAGGTGCTCAACTGCTACGACTGGACCCTCGTGCCCATGCCCGTGCGCGTGAACACCGGAAACAAGAACAAGCCGCACGTGAAGAGGCCCATGAACGCCTTCATGGTGTGGGCGCAGGCGGCGCGGAGGAAACTGGCCGACCAACACCCGCACCTGCACAACGCGGAGCTCAGCAAGACCCTGGGGAAGCTCTGGAGGTGAGGAGGCCATTTCATGTGGATAGTTCAGCGCTGTCAGATCACTGTCATCATGCTCACACAGAAATGTGTAGACAGTAAAAGAAGTACCTACTGCTCTTTGTTTTTACTAAATAAAAAGGTTGAGGATAAATCTGCAGATAAGGGACAGGGTTTGTTTTTTCCAAGGTGGGGGTTTGGGGAAATAGCTCCAGATTAGCACAGGGCAAAGGTCAGTGTCATGGTCAAGCCTGAGGGTTTCAAGAATACATGCAACTGGGTAAAGCAATCTCAATTTCAATTTCGATCTCCTGTAATCTTCTATTAATTTTACATTTTTGTGCACCATCAATCTTTTACCTAAGGCAATAGGAGTAAATTTTGGGGAGGACATGGGGGACAAGTCCTTCTCAATATTTAGAACATGTGCATTTGTCCTCCTAATAAAAACATGCAAGTAGCAGAAGATTTTTATTTGAATTAAAGACACTTCCACCATAAATCGATGCAAGGCAAAAAATTATGCAGGAAAATTTTCCCCAAATGCAGGCAATTAAGAGTTTGATGCTCAAAATATCCTGGGGGAGGACTGCAAACCCCCGTTTCAAATGTACCTTCCTTCCAAGTGTTGACACGAAACCTACGCCCTTGCTTCAGGCCAACTTGAACAAGCACACTCACGTAGTTGCTGATAGACAAGGGCGTAAGATGCTGTGTACTTTTACAGATAAAACTGTGAAAGCTCACTGTAGGTTATCGCATAAACACTACTTCTTTATTATTATTCTTAATCAATGATATTTTTTCTTATTATAAAATTAGGATAATTATGCAACAAGCCTTTGCCCCTTTTCTCTGGACCATTTAGTTTAAGTCATGTGCTTTATTTTCTTATGAACAAAAGGCACAGTTGAGAAAATAAAGCAAGACAACATGCCCCCACCTGAGCTGATGTGTGGTATTATATTTTCTGCTAAAACTATTTGCTGTAATTGAGTTTTACTGTATATGAACATGATTTTTAGTAGACATCGTTGCCCTAAGACACTGCCACAGTACCTCAGTAGACATTTTTCCGCACAGCTCACCAGCTGAGAAGTGTATATATGTGTTTACTGTGAGTTTGTCACGGTCACATGTTCCTGAATCCAGGCTAATTTTATAGACTGGCCATGTACCTGGAGTAAATGGCTCCTGAGGGAAACGGAGGGTGTTTTCACAAGCTTTCAGCTCACGTTTAAAGTGCAGGTTTTTAACCCTCAAACGTAAAGGCTTTGCAAGATTCTTTTTAACTGTGTCTGAGTGCTCGAGCGTCAACACCGCTGCCTCACGATCACCTGCAGTTCTTTACGGTCATAGTTCTGCCAGACTACACATCCAGTGTCTGTGTTCTCACACAGAACACTCACTACTTGCTAAAAAGAAGGTCAGAAAAGTTAAATTCATTAACGTTGTGTGGACTGAGCATTTATTAGATAAAGACTTGACCCTGGGCTCAGGCATGATTGGTTAATTGGCCCAGAAACATGAAGAACAGGGAGGTTGAGGAAGGTCAGGGGTTTCTCATGCCATTCCTGCCAGCAGTAGTAATAAGGAGCTTGGTTTCATGTTTGCAGACAGGATGCATCTTTGGCCTGTTTTATTTCATTACTGTCTAGCAGCAGTCAAATGCCCCTGGCAGGCATTACAATGGATGCACATACACAGAATAAAGCACTATGTATCAATATGCGCTAAAACGGACTAAACTTATTTGTGGAAAACGTGTTGCCAAGCATATCTGTGAAAATAATTTTGACCCATATACTGTATGTTGATATTCTTTAAAGCCTATTATTCCAGATCCTTCACTTCCTCCAGAACTCTTAAAGAAATCATCTTAAGGTGCATTTCATGTTACCATTTACATATACTTTAAATGTTTTCAGATTCCCCACACCAAAAGAAAAGTTCCCAACATTTCCTCACTTTTGGATGACCTTGTAGAATATATATTGCAGCTAAAAACCAACATTGTGGCCTAATTCTTATTGAGTGCTGGGATTTCTCTTCTTCATACTTTAAACAACCCAATCTACCTTCCATCTTCCCTTTTTATCTAAGGCTTCTTAATGAGAGTGACAAGCGACCCTTCATCGAGGAGGCAGAGAGGCTGCGGAAGCAGCACAAGAAGGACTACCCTGACTACAAATACCAGCCAAGACGCCGCAAGAGTGGAAAGCCAGGTTCTGGATCAGGAAGTGAGGCCGATGGCCATTCGGAGGGTGAGGTCACCCACAGCCAACCTCACTACAAGGGCCTCCAGCTGGATGTGGCCCTGAGTGGGGGAGCCGGGTCACCTCTGGCAGATGGGCACCACCCTCTTGCTGCAGGTGGGCTGCAGGCTCCCTGCCACGACGTTACTGATAGCATCCCTGTCGCACTGTTAGATCAGTGTAGATAAAACTAGACAGTGTGGCACACAGAGAATTGCTTGAGTGTGCCAAGAAAATTACTGTAACCACATGTTTTCTTGTGTCTTTACAGGTCAGAGTCACAGTCCTCCTACACCTCCTACCACTCCCAAGACCGAGCCTCAGTCTGGGAAGGCAGGGGATGGAAAGCGAGAGGGTGCTGGGAATGGGGGCTCCCGTGGTGCAATGGGAGCAGAGGGGAGCTCAGGTGGTCCGGGATCTGGCAAACCTCACATCGACTTTGGTAATGTGGACATTGGTGAGATGAGCCACGAGGTGATGGCAAACATGGAGTCTTTTGATGTCAATGAGTTTGACCAGTACCTTCCACCTAATGGACACCCAGGGGTTGGGCAGAGTGCTGGGGCAGGAGCAGCTGCAACGACTTCACCTGTCTCTCCGTACACCTACGGCATATCCTCAGCTCTGGCAGCAGCCAGTGGACACTCCGCAGCCTGGCTCTCTAAGCAGCAGCAGCCGCTGCAACATCACGGCCCCCCTCTGGGCTCAGACCCTTCCAAGGCCCAGATCAAGAGTGAGGCTGGAGGTGCTGGGGGTCACTTCACAGAGGGAGCCTCAGTAGGTTCCCATGTCACCTACACTCCCCTCAGCCTCCCTCACTACAGCTCTGCCTTCCCCTCACTGGCCTCCAGGGCTCAGTTTGCTGAATATGCTGACCACCAGGCCTCAGGGTCATACTACGCCCACTCCAGTCAGGCCTCGGGGCTGTACTCTGCCTTCTCTTACATGGGGCCCTCCCAGAGGCCCCTGTACACTGCCATCACTGACCCAGCCAGCGTACCGCAGTCACACAGCCCCACGCACTGGGAACAACCCATCTACACGACACTGTCGCGGCCATGACAGACAACAAGACCAGAGGGCACTGGTGCAGGTTCAGCCCCCATGTCAGACCCGAGGAGCAGCAGCTACAACAGCAGTGTTGGTGGTATCGGTGGTGAAAGTGGTCTGGGCTGGGGGGATTGGGCAGGCACTGGGAGAGTCGGCAGGGGAGGCAGGAGGGGAGAAACCCCGTACTGCTCTCGCCCAGATGCAGAAGCGCTGTCACAGCCCAAGGATGAGCTTGGAGCGTGGTGCTTCTGAAGCGTGGTTGATTATTTGGGGCACTCAGTGTAGTAGTGAGAGAATGTATTACATTGCACCCATCATCACAGAGTTCAGGTTAGATTCACAGCAGCCAAGCCTCTGGCGCTCTAAACAGCATAATTGGCAGTGTTCATAAGTGGAAAAGGATCATGTCCCTGTCAGTTTGGTGACTGCATGTATATCAGAGGAGACACCTTGTGGTCCACAGTCCTCCCCAAGAATCCACAAGGGGTCAGTGGCACCAGAGAACATGGTACACACTGATAATTAGCAAGACTTTGATCTGTATTGTGAAGGGTGTGACTGAGATGGAGCCAAATTCATTATATATGAAATGGGGAGTACTGTAATACAAACTATTTGGCTGTGGCCCATTCACTTCTCAGGCAAGATTGACCTTTTATCAAACAGATGTTAGTTTTGTATTGCTTTTGGAAATCAATGCAACAATTACTGATGTCATTCTGTTGGTACATTTGACCCTGTTTAATTCAAATGATTATGCTGTGTTCATTTAACATGCGTTTTGTACACACAATTAACATGCATGGAAGAAAAATGCCATAAAACTCTGCTGAAGTTTTGTTAATTGTATATTAAGTCAAAAAAAATATTTTCATGATGACTGACTATTATCAGGATAGTTTGAACGATGTACTTGAAATTACAAATGTACGTTTATTGATGAAGATTTGTAAAATGACCAAAGTTTTGAGACCAAAACTTGCAGAACAGAAACTGATGTTTCTCCCAACGTGACACTCAAAACTACCTTACATTTTGTAGCTAATTAGTTTTCTCTTAGCTGTCAACATTTTTCCAATGTGACTGAAACATACTGGTGTCAAAAGCTACTTTCGCCTTATTTTTTTCCACAGTGGCACTGATGAGTGTGATGAGTTTCATTAATATCTGACGCATTCGTGAAGAACATTCATGACAGAAGACAATGCAGAACAAATATAAATGCAGCACTTTTGTTTTTGCTTCCATTTTTCACGAGTTACAATAAAAAATCTTACACTTTTCCCTACACACACACAAAAGGTTTAGTTCTCTAAAAGGCTCTCCTTAAATCCATTTTAATGAGCATTTCGCCAATTTAATCCACCCACGAGACAAGTGTGGCATATCAAAGTGCTGATTAAACAGGATGGTTATTACACAGGTTGTCTTGAGCTGCTCACAATAAAAAGCCACTCTGAAATGTGCAGTTTGATCACACACTGACTGCACGGATGAAACAATAAGCCGAACATAAGCAGTCTCCAATGTCGTTTCCAAGAATTTGGCAGTACATCCAACCGGCCCAGTGAGCCAGTCCAGGACCTTCACATCAAGATCGTCTCAGCACAGCCACTGAGATGAGCTTCCCTGAGACAGCTTCTGATGGTTTGTGTAGCAATTCTGAGTCTGGAGGTCCTGAGCTGGTGTGGTTACAGTTGGGTCGAATCCAGTCTCATTTTGAAGTTGTCGAATACTGGCATTTGGGTAGTGACTTCTGCATCAGATACCAATGGAAAAGTCGGCATGTGTCATGTCGGCATGACATGCCGCTGAGTACCATCAGTGTGTAATGGCACCTGATGGCATCAGGAGGAAATGCAGTGGGACAACAATGAAAGTTAAGGGGACGAAAAGTTCGAATAGGGCAGGTGGAAGGGGTGGTGGATGGGTCCAACAGTCGCTGACTTTCACCTGGTTGCCCAGAGTTTGCTTCCTGTATGAATGTAAAGCCAATCCCTGTTATATTTTTTCTAAACCTAACCATGTGTATGTGTGTTGGCTAAATATAGCCACGTGAAATTTGAAAGGGAAAAAAAAAAAGTTAAATCTCGATGCTGCACTGACATAGTACATTTATTTTGAAAGAGACTGTAGGCAAATGGAATATTTCCTGCGAAAATGGAAGTGTATTTTGAAAAGACACAATGCATATAACAGGCTAAAGTTGACAAGGCATCCCACAACATCAACAACAGATACACCCAGATTACCTTGTAAATAGTATGTAGACGTGAAAAGTCCACAACCAAACAGATATGTGATGAGGTCGAGATGACAACGTGTTGCAGGGTTGGGTTACACATGATCTGCAGTTGTGAGGCTGATTGGATGTACTGCCAAATTCTCGCACATGACAGTGAAGACGGTTTATGGTGGTAAAATTAACATTCAACTCACAGGCAACAGCTGCGGTGGACGTTCCTGCAGTCGGCATGCCAACAGCACTCTCCCTCAAAACTTGCAACATCTGTGGCATTGTGTTATGTGATAAATGTACATGTTTTAGAGTGTTTAGAGTGTTATTGTGAGCCTCACAAGGCACACCTGTGTGCTAAAGATGCTGTTTAATCAGTATGTTAATATGCCACACCTGTCAGGTGGATGGACTTTGTTGGCAAATTGATCACTGACACAGAATTTGTGAGCAAAATTTAAGAAACCTTAGCCTTTTGTGTGCATGGGAAAAGAAATAGAAACTCGAAAAATGGGATCAAAAACCAAAGTGTTGGGTTTATATTTTTGCTCAGCATACTTGCATAATCCATTTTTGCTTTCCATGGCTGCAACATGTCATAGAATACATATAGAAGCATTTTCATTGTTTTAATCATTGACTGTATTAATGCTTTTTGCCGTTACTTTCTCCACTAAAAATCTGCACCACTGCCTTTTCTTTTCCTTTTTAATATCATTCAAAATGTGTATATAGAACAGTATTCAACGTGAAATGTCAGATCTTTTGATTGTAGTTGTGTAATTTTTAAAAAAGAAGCATTTTGGGGACAGTTTTAATGTGGGAGATGCCAATACTGAGAAACAGTTGCCAGAGATTGAGCGAGCAAAGCTTCCTGGAGATAATATGTTTTAACACAGCCTTATATTAAACTCAAAATGTGCCTGGTCCTTAACAATACCTGCTATTCATGCATGAAACAGAGAAGCGTTTTATCTGTTATGTTTGTGCCTTTCCCAGCGTTGTGGACTATTAGTTAAACTGTTCTAAACATTATGTTTATCTCTGTTTGGTATCTGTAGTCTACTGCGTTTCCTCGTCTCCAAAACAGAACTGTATTTTGAATATCTTATTCTCCATGTGCTTTGTTTTTATATATGTATCACTCAAATATTCTTTATCACTACTGGACACAGATCCAGACAATATGCATGCAGCACTGCTTGTTTTAATTCACAGTCCATGGAAGCTTAAAGTCTGTTTGTATTTAACCATTGACCTCCAGCACAAGAGGCCACATTACATCTTTGTTGCTATGTGTGAATTATGTGTAACGTTGCTATGAATTTTACATCTCCTATTTATATTTGTTTCATGTTTGTGTGCGCTGTTAAATTGTTTCTCTCCATTATGAGGACAACTGTTGACTGTTACTGCCATTTTAGTATTTCATTTTTTGTTTTTCTTTCTTGTATAACTGTTGCCAGCACAGCACGGCAACACGACTTCTTAATAACAGCAGGAGCGAAAGCCTAAACATGTGATGATGACTAATGACCTTTTGCGCTCACTTGAAATAAAGCTCTATTATTTTTGCTTTGATACAAGTCCGCCTCTTGGAATATTTTTATGAGGAAACAAATGATGAAACTAATAAACAGCTCATCTCAGTCATCAACAAAATGCTCCTGTTTTACGAAGTTGATAAAAACTCATCAACAAAAACACGTCTTTATGGCATCTAGTGTCTCTGCATAACTAAAGGATAATTCACTTTCGCTGGTTGGGACTCACAGCTACAGCAATCTACAACTGTTCGCAAAGGTAAGGTGAACATGAGTGATGATGCAGGTGGTGTATGAGTGGGGACAGTGTGTTTCAAAAGCAGCACGCATCAGATGTACATTCGTAGCATGTAGCCGTCTACTGCAACTGCAAGTTTCCTCAGACTGAACTTGAACTAATCCAGCCCCAGATGAGGGTAAGATTGGTTATGCGTGCCTATATGCATATTTCAGTGTGCATGTATGTGTGTGTGTTTCTCTGTGTCGCGGGTTAAGCCTGACTCCTAATTCCCTCTCTTTAATCGGCTGTGTGATACTTTGGAAAGACAAAGAGGGCCATTGAAGGGGAGCTAGGGGAGGAGGGAAACAGGGGCATTGAGGGAGCCTTACCCATAACTGCCTGGCCTGTAGCTTCACCGGGATACAAAGGGACTCTCATACTTGCTCTGCACATAGACCCTGCAACCCCCACTACTCACTACCCACCCTCCTCCTCTCATCCCCCACACTCACCCCATCCACTAAAAAAACTCCTCTTGTTTCAGGTTGTAATGGGATTAAAACATTCCAAAAGTTAAGAGAGTTAACCAGAAGGAAGATGTAGGTAGAGATATTTCATTACGTGAATTCTGAGCAGCAAACCGTCAAAGCAGGTGTCGTTCAGGAGCAGAAGGACTGGGAACAGACGGTCGATGGAGCCATGAGGTCACCCCACCACCATCCGGTGCAGAGGAAGAATGGATCAAAAGCATAGTTCGTTAAGTAGAAGGGTTTCTCCAAGTCATAGAGACACATTGAAGTTTTGGTAAAATGTAACTCAAGTATTGCAGAGCTGATCTAAGATTCTCATTCACCTTCATGATGAGACACCAAGTAATCACATGAAGTATATAGCGTGGGTATGGACAACACTCTAAAATATGAAAGCATGAAGAGAAAAAAGCTAAAGCTGGCCACATTAGTTGCGTCTGATCTAAAAGGGACAGTTCACCCTATTTATCAATCATCATTGTTTTGGTGTGAGATGCTGAGTGGTGGAGAAATCAGCTGTAAAGATGTCTGCCATCTGTCCAATATTATGGGACAAAATGGCACTAAAAACATTTTTAAATTTTTAAAAAAAAAAACCTCAACAGCATGTCTTTTTCTAAAAATCATGACAAAGTTACTCAAGATAATCCACAGACCATGTTGTGTGCAGTTTTATGTAGGAACTACTTTCGCTCCACTGAACTACACCCACCAACTGTGTCATTACACTGAAGGAAGGGTGCATCTGCTACCTCAGCTAGCATCACTGAGCTAACAAATGTTACAGCTCAGCCAAGGAGGACGCCATTAATGTTTACATCTTGCGCTGTCATGAGCACGAGCCTCTCGTCTATGAGTAGATGCACACTTCCTTCTGCAGAGTGCAGTTGGCGAGTGTAGTTCGGTAGAGAGAAAATAGTTCCTACATGAATCTGTTCACAATAAGGTTTGTGGATTATAGGCCCGTTTCCACCGCAGGAACTTCGGGGTAAATTTACGGGGCCGGGGCCGTTGGTGCGTGTCTCCACCGCAGGAACCACCCCCGAAGGACAGAGTTCTGGAACTTTTACAGGGGCTAAACAAGTCCCTGCCTCGGAGTAGGTACTCAGAACGGCCCCGAGAAACTTCTGGCTCGGGCTTGGGGATTACTTGGTGCTGATTGGATATACTCAAGGCGGGATGTGACGTTTTGTAATTAACAACATGGTTATCGTAGTTTAGCTGGGCTAACCGTTAGCTGTTAGCGGTGTCTGTAATAACTCTGGTCACGGTCCGTGAAAAAAATTTTTTTTCCAGCGGATATCTTAGTTAAAACATGATTGAGGTAGCAAAGCAGTTTTGTGTTGTTATGTGTGGTATTTATTCAGTTTTGGGAAATCACAATGTCTAGAAAGCATCAGGCTGCAGCTGACAGGGACAGCTAACAGCAGCAGCAAAGCTAACATCAGGACGTCATCTGTTAAAAGCCTCCCATTGTCGGATACAACATGAAACTACTCCAGTTAGTTCAATCATGTTGTAACTAAGACATCCGCTGGAAAAAATATTTTTTTCACGGACCGTGACCAGAGTTATTACAGACACCGCTAATGGCTAACGGCGTCCCTACGCCCCTACGTCGCCCCGGTCAAAATGGTCGTGGAATGAATACGTCACATACAGAGCCTGGTAACTTTACAGGAACCTTCCTCCTACTCCGCTCTCTCAGTGGAGACACAGCGGTTGAGAGGGCCGAGCGAGAGGACGTTCCTGTAGTAGTTCCTGCCCCCCAAATAGTACCAGGAACTTCTTCAGTGGAAATAGGCCTTATCCTGAGTGACCAGAGAGCTGTACTACGAAGCAGGATTTGGGGTTAGTGGGGTAACTTTAAGGTTAGCTATGAAGCTAGTTCACTTTTTACCAAGATAAATCACCGTGGTAACTTATGTTGAACAACTAACCTGCTGCAGAGCAGGTTACTTCAGAGTATTAGATCACAACCTGTCAACATCCTGACTTCTGACCAATCAGAGCACTGGAAAAAAAGTATCCAAAGACAAAAATCCAGAGTTACAGGTAAAAAGAGTATATATAGTCTATTTATAGGTGAGCAGAATAATTCCATTATGTCAGGCTCTGTATTTCCACTCTGGTTTTAAAACAGAGCCTCTAACAAACAGAGAGATTGTTTCCAACACTAAACACATGATGATGATTTAAGCAGCATTTTAATTGTACAAAGTTTATTTTGTGCCCAGAGTGATAGCTGACAGTGTGGCAGATTTTACACTAACTCCATCACTGTCACTCAGAATAATATGACACGCCTGTGTGACAACTTTTGGAATAAAAAGACAGAGAACAATCCACACACTGTTAATCAGCTCCTGTGATTATAAATGCTACATTTTGGTCAGATAGACGTCAACAGTCATTAGGATGATTAGTTTTCCACTCTTTGCAGAAGCAGTCTGGCATTACTTATAATTGTTTTTATTTGGAATACTCAGAGTAGTTTCATCATCCATCTGGCCTCAACGACGGTGCTGGAGAGGCTGGTCTTGGCCCACCTGAGACAGCAGAGACCGCAGGTGAAATCGTCCCTCGACCCTCTGCAGTTTGCCTACCAGCCTCACCTGGGAGTGGATGACGCCATCATCTACCTGCTTCAGCTCACTCACTCACACCTGGATGGATCCTGCCGTGCTGTGAGAATCACATTCTTTGATCTCTCCAGTGTATTCAGCACCATCCAGCCACTGCTACTGAGGGAGAAGCTGCAGGTGATTGGGCAGTGTCCTGTCTGACATGGTGGTTAGAAGCACAGGAGCTCCACAGCGGCCGTTTCTGTCTCCTTTCCTTTTCACCTTCAGTGGACCTTCAGTATGACTCTGGGTCATGCCACCTGTAGAAGTTCTCTGACAGCTCTGCAGTGGTTGGGTGTATAAGTGATGGACAGGAGGAGGACTACAAAGCACTGGTGAATGATTTTGTGGAGTGGGTTGGGAGAAATCACCTGATACTGAACGTTGCCAAGACCAGGGAGATGGTGACTGACTTCAGAAGGATGAGAACAGCTTCTCAACCCCTGAACATACAGGGGGAGGACATCAGCATGGTCGAGGACTACAAGTACCTCGGCATTCACATAGACAACAGACTGAACTGGAAGGCTAACACTGACGCTGTGTACAAGAAGGGGATGAGCGGAGGAAGCTGAGATCTTTCAATGTGTGCAGCAAGAAGTTGGAGATCTTCTACCAGTCTGTTGGGTGCAAACTGGACTCATTTGAAGCAGTGGTGGAACGGAGGACATTGAACAAACGGTTATCCATCATTGATAACCCTGACCACCCCACATTTTCTACAACCTCTACCTCACTTTCTTTACTCCTGCAATTTTTATATTTTTATTTTATTCCTGTATATTTCTCTTTTATATTTTAAACTTTATTTACCAGGCGCCCTGAGCAGTTGGGGAGCTCCACAACGGGCACCTCTCCAGCCACCAGTCCACGCTCCGCATTTGGTCCGGACGGGGACTTGAACTGGCGACCCTCCAGTTCCTAACCCAAGTCCCTATGGACTGAGCTACTGCCGCTCCCATTATCACCATCTCATCTCATATCATGTGATGTACTTGACTGATGGTTCTGATGATGTCGCTCGTAATCAACAAACCTGCCTCTTTCACATGAATGCGCTGATGGCTAGATAAAAAAAAACAAGAGTTGACTGAGTGAATTTATAATCAGCTTCGTGATGCTGGTTATCCAGACGACCAGTGTTACAGGTAGTGAAGCTGGATGACCAAAACCTGGGTTAGTTGAGCTGGCTTTGTAG